TGTGTGTTCGTGTTCGAGAGCGCGCTCCCGCACGTTTTAGTAAAACGAAGGGACAGAGGGGGCTCCCTTTTAAACAATAAGCCTCACCCGCTGATATTGATCTTGGACCATCGGTCATCTTCCAGGCGAAGATGAAGGCCAATGTTGCCTGTGCGGCCATAGCCGTCGAATGAGCAGCGACCCCCCAGTTCTGGAAACCTTCGGTCCACTATAGGCAGTCGCTCACGACCCCTGAGAACCCAGGCACCCAGAAACTACAGGGTTCGCACCTGGGGGGGGCGGGGTATTGCTCTTCTGGGCTCCAGACTCTGGGAAGTCAGGCTTTCCCCTGCAGGAACTCGTGGCCACACCTCTCCCCTGCCCCTTGCTCACCCTTGGGCCGGGCAGCGGAGGAGGCTGACAGTGCATGTCCGCAGCGGCCACCGCAGACCAAACCCTTCCTCAGATGGGCAGGAGCTGCGGCTTCTGGAATTCTGAGCTTGGACAAACCCTCCATGCTTGCCCGACACCCAACGCCCCACTCACCCGCCTTACCTGCCAGTCTAGCCTCCCTGAAGGCCCGGGTCTGCCAAGTGTGCACATCCCAGGCCACCGCTCGGCCATCCTGGCCATTGAGACCCCAGGACAGCACGGGCGCCCCAGTACCTCTCTCAAGTTTGAGGTCTGAGCCCAACGCAGGTCTGTTCAGGTCCGCAAGCAATTAGCCAAACCTGGACCATCTCCCCACAGGCAAGGTCTGGGATACTTCCTCCCCCACTCTTGCTGTTACCTTGCTTAGCCAGTACTGTCTTGAAATTTGTCTTAATTACAGTGCTCATTAACACCCAGTTCTCGTTGAATCTGCATAGCAATCTTTAAAAGTCCTCTCTGGGCTGCAGTGACTTTTCTCCCACAATACACAGGGCAAGGTGGTCTTAAATTGCCAGGGCATGGCTGAGCAACGAACCCTGGCTCAGTCCTCCTAAGTCCCTGCCCCTCCATGCCCTTTATCAGGGCCTGAACTCCCAGCTATGCATTGGCTCCCCATAAGGTAACCCTTTACCAAGCTTCTGTGCATGCTGCAATCTCTGGGGGAGCCAAAGAGCTTCTTAGAGAGGTCGCCCAGCTGTGCTTTGGGGCCTGAAGCACCTGCTTGACTAGAAAACTCAGGGCCCACACACCTAGGCTGGCCTCACTCGGACATTCTTTCCCCATACCCCAAAGACCAATCCAGCTGGAAGGCCAGGAAGCTTCCAGATAAGAGCATTTCACACAGACTGGCTCTTTTAAACCCCACAACAGATTCTGTGAGCAATACTATTGTGAATCACCCCTGTTTAGAGCTAAGAAACCTGAATCACAGAAAGGAAGCTGCGGTGTCTGGATTCAAACTCCTCCCTCCGAGGCTAACTTCACAGTCACAACTAGCTGTTAAGGATGGTTCTGGAGGAGACAACTAACCCCTGACCAATCACTTAGAATGTGAAGAAAGAGTTGAGCAAAACAAGCCCCCAAACCACTTGGAAATCGTGAGCC